ATACCACTGAAAGGCTATATAATAGTCCCCTTTAAATGAAAACAAATATTTATAAACAATCATTTTGGGAATTTAGATAAAGTTTCTCCAAACTGTTTCATGTTGTGTGTTGGGTGAAATATTTTTAGGATTCAAGGAGACCTTTTTGGGGTATCTTGTTCCATCAAATCACATTAGCCTAGAAGGAATCCACAGGTTCCCATGCTCTGTGGAAACAAAAGCAGAATCTCTTTTCCAAAGCAATAATCCTTAGACCCAAATTTTGAAGTCAAGATACCTTTATGTTGGTTTAGCTTAGCAACCCCCAGAATCAAATATCTCTCTGCAGTCAAAAAATTTAAAAAAATTACAATAATATGCATAATCCAGACTCTCTTTGTATATTTCATTTTAAATGGCTTAATTTTCTGTACTCCTTTAATCTATGACTGTCTGTACTCTTTTATGTTACTTTTACCATCTCTTTAAATATTTTCCTTTATTTTTTAAATTTGTTTCTTTTTATAACTATCTATACTCTTTTTCTTCTCTCTCCCAATTCTACATACATTTATCCAACACTGTGACCAATTCAGAGGGGTTTTTTTGTTGTTTTTTTTTATCTGAATCAGTCTTTATTGTGTACTTATAAACATTTTGTGGTCTGGAGCACTTATTTTTTTTTAAGTGTTAAGTGGTCATGGCTAAGACCAACTCCATGATCCTACCAGTTTGCTCTACCCAGTCTAACATGATGGAGGCATGTTCACCACATCTGCGAGCCATGATTACCACCACAGCTCCAGTGACATAGCTGGTCTATGTCACCATTAAGCAATTTATAACATGCCATTCACAGATCCCATTTCAGTGCTTAAGTGTTCCTTAACTGCACTAGCATGACCAGGAAACCAGCTATTTTGCTTGTTTGTTTTGTTTTGCTTTTTCCCTTCTTTCTTAAATTGATTTTTATTGAGCTCTACATTTTTCTCTGCTCCCCTCTCTATTTCTTCCCTCCCCTTCAACCCTCCACCAAAGTCCCCATGCTCCCAATTTACTCAGGAGATCTTGTCTTTTTTTACTTCTCATGTAGACTAGATTCATGCATGTCTCTCTTAGGGTCCTCATTGTTATCTAGGTTCTCTGGAATTGTGAATTGTGAGCTGGTTTTCTTTATCTTTAAAAGCCACTTATGAGTGAGTACATGTGATAATTGTCTTTCTGTGTCTAAATTATCTCACTCAAAATGATGTTTTCTAGCTCCATTCATTTTCCTGCAAAATTCAAGATGTTATTTTTTCTGCTGTGTAGTACTCCATTGTGTAAATGTACCACATTTTCCTTATCCATTCTTCAGTCAAGGGGAATTTAGGTTGTGTCCAGGTTCTGGCTATGACAAACAATGTTCTTGTGGTATGATTGGGCATCCTTTGGATATATACCCAAAAGTGGTATTACTGAGTCTTGAGGAAGGTTGTTTCCTAATTTTTTTGAGAAATGATCACACTGACATCCAAAGATGCTGTACCAGCTTGCATTCCCACCAGCAATACAAAAGTGTTCCCTTTTAGCCCACAGCCTCTCCAGCATAAGTTATCAACAATGTTTTTGATCTTGGCCATTCTTTCAGGTATAAGGTGGAATCTCAGTGTTGTTTTGATTTGCATTTCTCTTATGACAAAGGATGTTGAACATTTCCTTAAGTGTCTTTCAGCCATTTTAGATTCTTCGGTTGAAATTTCTCTGTTAAGGTCTGTACCCCATTTATTTATTGAATTATTTGTTCTTTTGATGACCAATTTCTTAAGTTCTTTGTATATTTTTTAGATCAGACCACTGTCTGATATAGGGTTAGTGAAGATCTTTTCCCATTCTGTAGGCTGTCGTTTCATTTTATTGACCGTGTCCTTTGCTTTACAGAAGTTTTTCAATTTCAGGAGGTACCATTTATTAATTGTTTCTCTCAGTGTCTGTGCTGCTGGGGTTATATTTAGGAAGTGGTCTCCTGTGCCAGTGCATTCAAGTGTACTTTCTCTTCTATAAGGTTCAGTGTGGCTGGCTTTATGTTTTGGACTCAAGTTTAGGGCATGGTGATAGATATGGGTCTATCCTCATTTTTCTACATGTTGATATCCAGTTATGCCAGCACCATTTGTTAAATATGCTTTGTTTTTTCCATTTTATATTTCTTGCTTCTTTCTCAAAAAGAAAGGTGTTTGAAGGTATGTGGATTAATATCCGGGTCTTCTATTTGGTTCCATTGGTCCTGAAGGTATGTGGATTAATATCCGGGTCTTCTATTTGGTTCCATTGGTCCTCCTGTCTGGTCGAGTTATACAAATACCAGGCCGTCCTGATCAAGTTATGCCAATACCAGGCTGTTTTCAGTACTGTAGCTCTGTAGTAGAGTTTGAAGTCAGAGATTGTGATGCCTCTAGAAGTTCTTTTATTGTACAGGATTGTTTTGGCTATTCTGGGTTTTTTGCTTTTCCATATGAAGTTGAGTTCTGCTCTTTTGCAGTCTGTGAAGAATTTTGCTGGGATTTTGATGGACATTACATTGAATCTGTAGATTGCTTTTGGTAAGATTGCCATTTTGACTATGTTAATTCTGCCCACCCAAGAGCATGGGAGATCTTTCCACTTTCTGGTGTCTTCTTCAATTGTTTTTCTTCAAAGATTTAAAGTTCACAAGTCTTCCACTTGTTTGGTTAGAGTTACTCCGAGATATTTTATGCTATTTGTGGCTATTGTGAAGGGTGTTGTTTCTCTGATTTCCCAGCCCTTTTATCATCTGTGTACAGGAGGGCTACTGATTTTTTTGAGTTAATCTTGCATCCTGCTACATTACTGAAAGAGTTTATGAGTCATAGAAGTTCCTTGGTAGTATTTTGGGGATCACTTATGTAAACTATCATATCATCAGCAAACAGTGACAGTTTGACTTCTTCTTTTCCAATTTGTTTCCCCTTGATCTCCTTTTGGTGTCTTATTGCTCTAGCTAGGACCTCAAGAATTATGCTGAATAGAATGGAGAGAGTTGGAAACCTTGTCTTGTTCCTTATTTCAGTGCAATTGCTGGGAGTTTCTCTCCATTTAGTTTGATGTTGGCTGTTGACTTGGTGTATATTGCCTTCCTTATGTTTAGGTATCTTCCTTGTATCCTTGCTCTCTCCAAGACCTCAACAAAAGGAAAAGATAGAATAATGCACCAGCTAGAATAGACACAAAGGAAACAGCAATGCTTGAAGAAAAGTCTAATGAAATCCACCGCTGATTCTTCTTAAAGGATGCATAAGTTGTAAACTACAAGCAAAAGTGAGAAAGAAAGAAAGAAAGAAAGGAAGGAAAAAAGAAAGAAAGGAAAAAAGAAAGAAAGAAAGAAAGAAAGAAAGAAAGAAAGAAAGAAAGAAAGAA